TAAAAGTATGATTTACATAGCTTTTATTATTAATTTAATCTGAATTATAAATAGTCCATTTTAGTCCTTACTTTGACGAAGACATAATATACGCCTTTTAAATCAGAATTATCAGCATAGGAGCAGAATTAGGAGACACACTTGTCATAGATTTGACATAAACTAAATTAGTCAGGGTAATTGCAATAACTGGTAGGGTAACTTTCTTATGAAAAACTAAACCTCAAGAAATAAGATATGAAAATAAGCACTTCAAACATTTCGAAATGTGCTTAATATCTTCATTTTCTCAGCATAGTTGTATTCTTTTAAATCCAAAGAGTTAGCAATTAGAATATTTTGCAAATTTCCTTGAGACATACCCTCCATTAACATTATTACCTTTGGGTCCAAACACCTAAGGTTTACTGGTTGTTTAGTTAATAATAGTTGTCATACATCGCTGGAAATAGTATATTCCATCCCATTTATTTATCAGCAAAGGTGACACATATAGATTGTTTGAGCTCCATGTCATACATTATGCAAGTGTATGCAGGTATACGGCCTCTAGAGAGTCAACATCGATGTTTGATGATGTCCGTTCATTGACGTAGTCTTTTGATGCAGTCAACAGTTAGCCAACAAACCACAAGTATACTGTTACAATGCTATTCCATTGGGTCATATAAATACGAGAAGTAAAACTTACCAAGGTATATAGTAGTAAGTTAAAGTAAGTTATTGCTAATTGAAATATCACGCTGAATTTAGTTAAAGTAATAAATTGATTACCTTTGTAAAAATTACAAGGCTAAAAGCACGTTTAGCTAGTATTCATTAAATATCCATAAATTATTTTTAGCATGCTAAATGCTCCATAAGCAAACTTTGAGTATGAAATGAAGTAGAGATATAATTTTGTTTACAATAACTACATTTGAAACTTATCTTACAAAAAATTACGGAACGCTTTGAGTTTCGGTTAGCTTAGTTTTAGTTATTTCTGAAATGTAGCTTAAAGAATGTTCGACTTTCTAATAACAAGTATCAAATAGGGGAAATTTTAAAATAAAATGCGTAATTGTAATTTGGAATTGAATTTCAACCAATACAAAAATATAACCAATACACTCTACAACTATACCTTAAGCTTTTAATTTAGATTTAGTTCCATGACACACATACAAAACTATTATCATGAAATTAGGTAATCACTCCCCCCAACTTTTTAAAATTATAACATTGTGTAGTATCCAAACCTTTGGATTAGGTAACTATATTTATTTCGATTGCTGTAGCCTTAGCCAAACACTTAAATTTGCAATGCCTAAAAGTAGCGTCCTATAAAAAAAATAGATTGTTCATACTCAATTGTTAAATTCAGATACAAAGGTAAATGCTGCAAAATGAAAGCCGTGTTATTTATAAAGGATACGATATTTGTTCCACCTCTAAGTTTGGAAGTTAAATGTAAAAAACGATCTTGTTTTCCTTTTTAACCTTAACAAATTTCACATCCCTTTTAGGTCTTTGAATAGTCTATATAAATACATTTGTATATATGTCTGTTTAGCGAATTTCCCAAATAGGGAATGCGCTATTTTCGTAGGGCTCATGCTGAGATCTGGACCCAAGACTGATTTACCTTTTTGTTTTGAGGTCCCCAAATTTAAAAAGAAAACTCAATTAAATTCAGTATTCAATTTAGTAGTGTTTTCTTGCGCTAAATGTTTAAGCAGAAAATTGAAAAACTTAAAATTCCCAAGTTAATCTTATAGAGAAAAAGCTAGTTTACTTGTTTATAAAAATATTTTTATAACATTTGGAAAATTTATTTACTTTATACTATACCATTCACATTTAACAATAAAAACATTTTCTTACCTTCCTTATAGCAATATATGTAAGTACTTGCTAAACTAATCTTATTTATGTAGGTAGTAAACATGAACCTTTTAAGGAGATATGTTATTCAGAATACAATTAGTTCAATAATGTAAATTCACTTGGTCTGCAGCTTTTCTGCAGTGGGAGTATTTATTCAATTCATCATTTATGTCACATACAACTTTTTATATTATTGATCTTACGAATAGGTTATTTATCCTTGTTTTTTTAGGGAAAGGGATTGTGTTTTGCAATCCTTTAACCTTTAGTTGGGAAATACATCACTACTTTATTTTCTACTGTATCTACTGTATCTATCTAAATTTATCTAAAAAAATTTCAAATATATTTAAATCTATATATATAAAAGAGGGACTATGTATGTATGTATATATGTATTTACCTTACGGACTCTGAAACCGCTTGGCAGATTGTAATGAAACTTTCAGGCGTTGTTAAGAATTATTTAAGGAGAGTTAGTGAAGTTTGGTGCAGATCCTTCAAAATGGCTCTGCCCCAGAGGGTTTAAAGTGGGCCAATGTCAGACTTTTTGAACTAAAATGTTTACAAATAAATAAAACTAGCTGTTAGCCGGCAACAGTTTTGTGGGTTTGAATAATCACAACATGCTGTATTAGTCATGATTTGAAATAGTGCCACAATGTTTTGTGGTATACGGCACAAACAACTTTTTTACTTTTCAATATGTAAAAATATATTAAACCCCAATCACAGCAGACCTGTGCACTCAACAACATTTAAATTCTCCAATGTCAGATATGTAAACATAAAAACCTTTATCAAAGTAATTATAAACAATAAAAGGAATGGCGATTCCTTAGTATTTTCATCTATTGTACTATACCCACACAATCTAACATAAATTATTAAGTAAATAATAATCGTGTGTGCTATCTCAGATAATCAAATTCCTATCAATTTGTCATCAACTCACCACATAGTGTCATTAAAAGAAGAAACTCCAATAATACTAGGCCTATTGCGAAACTTAAATCCACCCAAACTTAGCAACAGAACCAGACTGACGATTAAAAAAATGACACCAAAATTAATTTATTGAAGCAAAAACTATCAGTGGTAAGTTTAAATGAGAAATAGTCTTAATTCCAAGAATACTGATGATTTCATCCGAATTACCCTCTGAATTTAAGCAAGTACAATTTCCTTTGTGTTTTGCTTTCGCAACCACTATTAAAGGGCACTAGGGCAATCCCAGACTATCTTCAGGTGGTAGATACGCCTAATTTTTTTATACTTATACACCTAATGAAAAAACAAAAAAAACATTGTTTCATTGTCTTTCCACTGACAATTAAATAAAATATTTATTTTTATTTTTGGTATACACTTTTATAATTTATTGTAACGAACAAATAACATTTAAAATAATAGTTGTTAAGCGCAGCAACGCGTGCCGGGTAACTGCTAGTATAACTATAAAATAGTCAAATATAACTACAATTAAAATAAATTAACTAATCAGCTAATACAATATTGTTATCCTCAATAAAGGAGCATTTTTTTATATTTTATTTCATAGTAAGCATGTAAACAACCATATTCAATAAATTTAAAAGCTATGCATTTAGGATTAAAGTAAAATGTCATCCAAGTGCTTTTGGTGAAGCATAAGTACCTATCGTAAAATTCTAAATATTCTCTTGAAAAGTGTGTAGTATCCAAGCAAAATAAGAATAATCAAAGAATAATAAACTTTGTTTAAAGTTTATGGAAATTGCCATAAATGTATGAGAAAACTAAACGTTGTGGCAGTTTGCGACTCACAGTTAACTAAATGTTGGAGTTGGTTTGCAAAGTTATAATTAGACCAACTCTACATTAGCAGTTCACAGGTCAACGATCAAGCAAAACTTTGCATCAATACTATCAGTGCAAATAATTAACAGTTATAGTATTCTGATGTTCTGAAGACAGTTTTGATATTTTATTTTATATACTTTATGCGTGTTTTTATAAACACAGTTTCCTGCGTAGCTTCAAATTTATTTATGAATTTAAACTACAGGTAGCTTAAAGTCAAACACCACTATTTTAAATTATAGCTTTACTTACAAAAATGTATGTTATATGACGTAAATTATATTGTATTTATTGCACTGTAATTGACTTAAGAGTTGATGTTTTAGTCAGTGTGGGAGAACCCAACTGAATGGTCTATATATATAATTGACAACGATGATCATCTACGGCAAATTAGCCAAAGATTTATTGGGTTTAAACAAATGCTATGCCCAATTTCTACGATCCAATGAATTTTGGAAGATGACCATTACATGAGGAATGGGAATTGGATGATATCATGGTATAGCCTGCTTAGTTTAAAACAAGATAAATTGATAAATAATTATTATAAATGAAGGAAACGTTTTTTTTTTTTTTTTTTTTTTTAATAAAGTAATCGCAAACCATTTATTTATAAAAAACGGCCATAGCCCACAATTCTTCTTGGATATGCAGGGGCTATCACCTTTTACCTTTTTACTCTGGTACCGAAGTGGTGCCTTACTATAGCACATTGATAGGCAGGAGTAATTTGAAAATCTCCCCGAGCCAGCTAAGCACTGGTTCATTGGGGACGTCTTAAAATAGACACTGGCAAAAAACGTACTATACAAAATTTACTTGAAGCACTTGCACACTCGAAACACAAAATGAGTCGTGACATTCGTCGGTAGAACATAGTCACTGCTCAATATTACTTACTATTGCATTAAATAAATAATAAAAATACATATAAACTTTATAATAATGACAAAGAATAGTAGGTTTCATAGAAAGCTGAGTTAAATGGATGTTTAGGAAATAAGCCTACATGGGCTGCACGACTGTGCGTAAGCTCAGTCGCTACAGTATCAGTGAATCGCGCGTTTGTTGGAAACAAGAATATAAATAAATGTTTAGAGAGCCTTAAAAAAATAATGCAATCGTAATTTCTAAAATAATGATTCTAGAGCTAAATGAGTAAAATGGGAAATTTGACGGAATGAGGCAAAGCGTTGGCCAAGGACAAGATGTAGTTAAGTATGCTCAATGTTAGTAATTAAAAAATCCACAAGAACTGTATGTCGCAGTTTCTGTAATAAGCTTTAATCTAAAACACCCGGTATCCATTTTGACGATTAAAGTTGTTGAAGTCACCATTCTACTACATTTACTTTGTGTTGCAAACAATCCAGTTCTGTGTTCGCTATATTTAAATCTTCCTTTTTCACAGCTTGGGGCCAGGTTCTGGAGGTACCGCTCAGCATTTCTTTATCCCTACACTTTTTCTCCCAATCCAGCTCACTAAGAAAAAATTCCATTAATGCTGTTCTGAACTCGGCCACTTTGCAATCCTCTTTACCAAGCAAAGGTTTTAAGGATATTTGCTTGAATCTATCAGTGTTTTCTGCTCCAAAAAGACTGTAATAGTAAACCTGAAACATAACAAATAATAAACTTATTTTTACTAAAATTTTGTTTTCTAATCAATAGAATATGGTAATGGAACACAGTGCGTTGGTCGTTTGTTTGCTTATTTTTTGTCCTAAACAAAACAAAGCCTGGAGGATTTTATTGCAATATTTCCGCAATATCGTCGTGTTTGTGGTTGCCAACATAAAACGATTACCATGACTGGGGGAGAATGAATACGGCTTGCCAAAAACTATTATAAAAATGTTTTGAGAATTGGTAATATTTGATAATATTTTATTTTGATAACTGACCACCTCACCTCACATCATTAAATAAAGTAACATGTGAATAAACTTTCATTTGCATTATTAACTTTCCTTAACTACTTAACTTTCCTTGACTTCATTCTCACTTTATTTTCACTACAGCTTGAGCTTATAGCCAACAACAAACCAACATCAGCAAAAGCATCATCATCCGTTGATACAATGTTGCACGATTAAACAGAAGCACCTCAATGCTTGCCTACGTATATTACGGAGCCTGTGGAGACCCCCCTATTTCTGGGTTTGCCTTGAGATTGAGACGGGCCTTTGGATTCACCTGAGTGTGTGGAACCTGCTATGTTTTGATTTTCTGATCCCCTTATTTTCTGATACTACCTTCCCGGACAGCGTCACACTTACCTTGATAAAGTCATCATTTGACACCTCTATGATAAGTGTGTCTCCTGGTAGTGCTAATTTTGTCTCTTCTTTGCTGATGACCCAAAATAGAGGACTGACCGTGTTATCATGAGATCCGTGGAAATGAAGTTTGGACAGTTTTGAGTTCAACCATCTTTTTTCCCGCGCATAATATATCTCATCAAAAATCTGTGTAAGAATTGGCCCTGTCGTAGAAAAAAAAAAATTTAGAATGTGAAAGCTTGATTAGTACAAGTTTATACCTATTTATGAAGAACTAATATTGCACAATGGTTTGTCAATAGGTGTGTCGGTGGTGCCACGAACTGTAAGCCCAAGGACGCGATGTCGTGGGTTTGCATCCTGGTACCTGTCACTTCTTTTCATCAGTACAGTTCACCCTGGCACTGTACCGACTCACATCTTGATTTTCTGGATACTTTCCAGGCACAGAAACTGTGACCCATATGTACGGCAAATGCATGGTTGAAAGAGGCCGCCGGCTTCTTAAAAATGAGAAAAAGATGGGAAATGCTATATAAACATATGCATGATACTATCCTATTTAGATGATGTATTGTTTTTTTTTTTTGCAGATAGAGAAAAACATATTTTACTGTGAGTTATTGATCACAAAATGATTAGATTAATTAATTAATTTATTTATTTATTGCTCTTGACAATTTTTACATTGTGTAGCATATAATAGTTATTCTAATATTTATAGTTACATAGAGGTTATTTTATAAAATTACGCTTTAAATTAAATTAAAATTCAAACAAATAAATCAATACATTAATGAAATGGAGGAAAAATAAAAAAAATACTTTACATTTATTAAGAAAGCCTTTCATTCAACCACAGTAATCCTATGTATTATTAACTGGATTCCTAAAAAGATTCCTCTTTCCAGCTCACTTAGCGCAACAATTAAGGATGCATGTATTTTACCGGTAAAATACTGTGCCATGTTGAGTTTTCCGTGAATGTCGTTCCATAAGCGGAGTTGAAACGCTTTTTGCATAACTGGCAGCACATTGGAAATGCACTCTTGAATAACATCATTGTGATTGTAAAGAACCTGCAGAAAAAATCTACATTAGTAAAAAAATAATCCTAATTATAAAACTTCAAAGCATTATAATATTACGAAACAATTGTAAACTCTTAAGCTAAGTTGAAGGATTAAAAGATCAGTGGAATCGTAAAAGATGCAATCTAATTTCTTTTCTTTACAGGTATGAATTCACAATAGTTTTTTGTAAAGAAAGAAATATCTTACCCATGCAAGAAACGTGTCATAGACAGAGTAGCTGGATTTCTTAGAGCTGAGTATTTCTCTTTTGTAAAGCTTATTAATCCGAGATTTCAGTGGCTCGTCATATTTTTCTGTTGAAGGCAGCTCTTTGAGTTCTTTATGCCTTGCATCTTTTTTCAGTTTTGTATACACTGGACATTTGAACCTTCCTAAAAGACTTTCTTTCGCTATCTAGAACCAAAAGTTTAATTAATTAATATTCCTTGTGTTAAAAAAATATATATTTACTGTATTGAATCATTTTGTGACAAATGCATTTGTTTCCATCTTATTTAATTTCTTTTTACAGATTTGTTGTTATTTCATCATACTAAAAGGTTATAACTAGGCGAGAACCTGCATTATTTTGTTTACATTCAGCTCCGTGACCCCATATTTTCCGAGATATTCCATCAGAGCTTTGCCCCAGTGGCTTTTAAAGTTCCCATATTAACCTTATGGAGAAAAGATTTGTTTACGTTTAAACAACTTAAATACTTTTGAATCTGCACTATTAATTAAAGGGAACAGCTGGTTATATTTTACTAGTTTTAAAGACAATTTCAAAATTATTTTAAAACTAAAAAAAAAACTTTATTCTTTAGTCGAACTTTTTATAATACTCTTCTTATTTTGTTACACTTTTTACACGTTATTTTGAACAAAATTTATGTTTATCTTCTTACTTGGAGTATTTCTTCCTTTTGAAAGAAGCAGGCCAATCAAGAATTATATCAAGAATGAAAGTTACATCCCTTAACCTCCTAGTCCAAATGTTTGGGTCGCTATTGACACGGTTGTAAATTGCTGGGTCGCTAGCGGCACGAGTCGCATCTACCACGCAGACGCCTAAATGCAAGTGGTAAATTGGGGGGGGGGGAGGATGACATGATGACGGCCGCTGGTCAGTCTAGACATCTACCCTGAACGGGCTACAGCGTGGAAAGTAATTTTTCTTCACATGGCTATGTTGTTTTTGTAGACATGTGTGTATTGGTGGGTCTATTGTTTATATCTTTTCAAAATAGTCCGATTAATTCATCGCAGCAACAACTTCATCAAATTGTGTCAGGTTGCTTCTGGCCTGAAGAATTATTTTGGAAACCCATTTAACCACTAGATCTTATGCATTCCTATACACAAAATATTCCAAGGACGAATGAACTACTAAATATTCTACTTTGAGTACTTTGTCAAAAACTTAATTTAATGAATTAATTAAGAAATACAATTACTTGGAACCTACATAGAACTTGTCGTAGTCAGCCTGTGCGATATATTGGTGTCTATTGCATGGTGAGCCTTTCTCCTTTGAGTTTGTAGGATTTTCATCAGCATAGAATCCTGATGCCAGACACTTTGTGCTTTGCATGGTTACAGACTCCTTGGTAGATGAAAACTGTGTCTCGACAGTGCTCAAGGAACTTAGCTTCTTGTAGCGAGTACCAAGTGACTTTCCAATGTGAAACATTAGCTTTTCACCCATCTGTTACACGAAATATTTAACATAATAGAAATACTAACTACAAAGCTAAGCTGTAATAATCACATCAAACGATACAAAAATGACTTGGACTTAAATCTATATATTAATCGAAAAGAGTAATGTCTACGGTTTAAAAAATTGAAACCCCTTTAAAAGTTCAATGTAAATCTTAAGTGATTTTTTAAAACAAAAAATATATTCGAAGGTTTAGATTAAAAAGGATAACGGTAACTTTCAAAACGTGAGACCCTTTTCCTCGCATTAAATGCATGTTGTATAAACTTATAGGCCAATGGTTTTGAAGCTATAAACCAGCCACACGGTATAGTTAAACTATTACAAAATTTACCTAAATTGACTGAAGATGAGACTTTTCCGTAATTCTTAGGTCGAACAAATACAAATATTTTCTATGACAATGTCCGGAAAGATGCGGACCAGGGACATTCCGGGCGCATATGAGTTTGAGCCAAAGGAGGGTGACTGAAATCTTGGCTCAGGGCGACTCTTTAAATAGACTCGTTCTCCTGTTTCAGCTAATGGATTGCTATTACCATTAAATTAATCTCCCACAACCCAACACATCAAGAGTAAATTATTGTATTAGTATTCCAAATATGAAGCCAAAGGGCTGGTTATCGCCTGAGTTGTATTTATTACTGTATTTTATTTTCACCAGAATCGCACTTTTGCTATTACTAATTTGGTGGTAACTTTTACCAATATACCATGGATTAATTAAAACATTTAAAGACATATTTATTTCAGATTTAGAAAGAACACTTTTTAATTTTAAAAACCATTGTACCCGATGTAGTAGTGTTATCAGTTTTCTTCGTGCAAAGGGATTAACTAAGATATGTCAATCATTTTATAAAAAACAGGGTACGGAAAAAACTCTCTATTTTCTGCAATGCACTTTTCAGCGACAGGTCGTCTAAGGGTGGTGGGAGTAGTTGGCCATGCCACATCACCGACACAACGAGAGTCAAAAAGACAACAACTTGAAAGAGACGTGTGTCCGCTTTGTTTTGACTTAGGCTATCAGGAATACAAATAACCACGAATTTTATAAATTTACTCAATGTAGAAACAAATCTCTCGATTTTTTCACAATATTCATTCTGTGGCATATGGTACAAATTCATTAACATATTATACTGTATTTCTTAAATTGTAAAGCATAACAACGTAAACAAACATATTAATAATTATACTGTATAACACTTTATAACATTTAGTAGTATACTTTGAAAAAAAAATAAACAAAAACTCCTGTATTTTTGCTATAATAGCTAAACTGGGTTTATTCTAAATAAAGACTAGCAAGAATATATAGATCTTAGATTAGGCAAAAGGCCAAGTCCCTTTTTACTTGACTGTGTTTATCAGTTTTAATTTTATTGTTTTTAAATATTTAAAATTATGATTTTCATTCAACGCCGCTATTGCACCTCTCTGGGAACCGAAACTTAAGAGGGATTATATTTAAAGATTCGGTCACAGACATAGTTTAAACCTTTTCTCTCCTCCCACACCCACTCTATTTGTCCGGAACTTTGACTTATTCTCAATATTCCTTGGTCGGATCTTTCATAAAATCGATGAATAAGGACTGAATTATGGCGTCCATTTGGATTAAGAGCGTTTTCGTATTTATGTGCCCTAAGGATCATAGCATAAATCCCCACGAAGTTCACACAATTGTAGAAATTAGTCATTGTTTTATTGTTTAGAAAAATTAAATTATAAAAACTAAAATGGCTCCATTTTGACAATTTTATTTTGACTATGTAAATTTATTTTATGACACCGTTGTACTCTTCTACCTAAACATAAATACTACTAGGCTTATAATGATCCGTTTTAACAATCCAAGGATAGAAATATTTATGCTAAAAGGGAAAAAATGAAGGATATCTAATAAGGAAAATCAATTTAATAACACTTTATTCTTTATTTATTTTAACGCATACAACCATTTCACGGTGTTTTGTTTAAAATTTACGGCACGCATTATCCCACTACCTACCTCACTGATAAGGAAATTAATAAAATTAACAACTAACCCACGAAATATAAATCACAGATTTCTGTTTAAAGATTTCGAACAAAAATGTACACTTTCAATATGTGAACTTATCCTAAAGAACCTTGTTTTGTTTACTTACACCGGTGAGTGTTCCATAATTGGTTCCCAGCGGAATGCGTCGTTCCAGAATAAATGTCATCAATTTGGAGAAGATTGAGTTTAAACCTTCACGGATTGGGCTTCTAAATCCATGTCTGGATATCTATAATAGAATAATATTTAGGTTTATATTGTAAACCCTACAATAAGTATGAAAGTACAGTAAATAAATGTTTGATATATACTCATAGACAACAGTTCACATCGTTGTTGGCATGTTGGCAATCGAACGATGATACTGACTCTTATAGGGATGTTATTAGATTTCACATTTAATACATATATTTTTGATAGATATTTTGTTGTCAACAGAAACGTCTAAGCTTAATAAGGGACTCGTTTGTCACGGAATGACGGATCAATAAACTATAACTAACCTAGCGAACGTAGTCTCGTGGAGCGGACTGAGTATTTGAGTTGATTACGAAGAAGACGCGGTAATCAAGATCGTTACCAAAGATCACCTCACAGGTGATTGGTGGAATTGTAGCCAATAGTCACGATTGAGGCAAATCGTTTGATACATTTAATATCAATTACTTATCTTGCTTGTATAAGGGATACATACATAGGGGGTACAGAGGGATTAAAAACTGCAAAAAGTTGTTGAGTGAATTCAAGAAATATTAATGTAGGTGGCCAGCACTATGACCGTGGAACAGACCTAAGAAATGTAGTAGAATGATAGGATTGGTTACACTTGTAGTTGAGGGGGGGGGGGGGGGCTAACATGTAAAATAACAATGAACACAAGTAAACCAAAAAGATAATTTGCGTTGTCATGAAAAAAAAAACTTTAACTAACAATGCCTAAGTAAGTAGTAGTATAAGATTGCACTAGAGGCTTGTACTTACAATGAAAGCGGACTGTAGATTGCCAGGAGCTTGTGGCAGATGATCTATTTCGTCAAATTTTCCAAATTTGTTCTCAACTTCCAGTTGCGACGAACCTTTGGTTTCTTCTGGTGAACATTGCACAAATACTGCTTTCACCAAACATATCACCACTGAAATCACAATAAACACAAATTAAAACAATTGTCATTTTTAATATTTTAGTAAATGTCAATTCATACTTAAAGAACAAACAAACTAAACATGAACACAAAAAAACGTGTTAGCCGGAAGCTTAGCTGTATATACGTTTTATACATATTTCATGTTTATGTAAAGTAAATAGCTTTGAGTTACCGAGGAGGTTGCGTGGTAGCATAATTTACATCAATTGGTGATCTGGCGGTTGTGTGGGACCTTGAAGTGCAGCAACTGGTGCTTGACACGTGTGACAACCTTTCACTACTTCAGAGGTCACTGTTCGTAACCACTCGTACTTTCAGGGCAATCACATCAATGAACGATATCTGAAAATTTGTTCTTTAAATCTATTTCCATTAATTTACTTATGTTTTAGGGGTGCTTTGAGACTTTTACAAAGTAAGGCCTATACAGTAATTAAGATAGCATGTTTATCAGGTAACCTTCAAATTTGATTTGATATATTTTTCTTTCAGCTAGAAAGAAAATTTAAGCGATGTGTAGCCTAATCATCTATTAAACTAGTTTATACCCCATGTGTAACATATTCAAAACATTTTTCGTGTCCATATTGTTTTACTAATTTAGCATTTCAATTACATACACACCAAAACAACTCAAGATTTTCGTAGTTATTTATTGTGCACTTAGTTCTAATAAGGGTTGCGGAAGTTTGTTTTCCAATTCTTGAATAGGTCTATATGTTTTCTTGAATTTAGACATTGTATATAGGTGGTGTAGATAACATTTTTAGCTGGTTTTGTTGATTCTAATCCGTTAATTAATTTGAATATTTTTTTATTTTTACGGTATGCACCCTTTTACAAGAAATGACAATGGTGACATGATATATGACAGTTAATATGCAAGAAATATCCATAAAATGTCAGGATAGCACTAGAAATAACAAGAGTAAAAAACTTAACATTTTTATCTTTAGACAGGGACAATTAATATTTTTCGCTTTCCACTTGCAAAACAATACAAATTAATTAAGATGACTAACATTAGATAACAAAGAAATAAACAATAGAAGAAGTATATATATATATATATATATATATATATATATGTTAAATATCAATCCTGGTAACATTATAAGTGAGAATGTTTGGATGTATGTATAGATTTTTGTGACAAGAGAACGCAAAACTACTAAACCGACAGTGTTGAAATTTGTTATGATGATAGCTCACATTCCCGATTAACATATAGACATATTCTTATCTCAAAAATTATTTCGGGCTCTACCCCAGTGGCTCTTGAGTTTCCCATGTTAACCTGATACCGAGGAGGATATTAATGTAACAGCGTCCAATTTAATTACATAGTAGTATTCATATTCATAATGAATTAAAGATTTTCGCAGCAGTTTCAACATAAATAATCAATAATTTATTATACTCTTAATAAATAACAAGCTACGATAACTATTTAACAATAAATAAATATACGCTTAGGATAACATTTACCTATTGAATAAATGTAAAACATGTAAATGCAAATAGGTAAAAATCACAATCAGTTAAATACGACAACGACAAATTTCAGGCGGTCCGATTTGCAGGGATTCACTGCAGTAGCCTTTGGACTTCTTTCTTAGGAGATGGAAAGAGTTGGTTATTTGAATATGCACTACACATCCTTTTTATAATATCCAGACATAAGTAAGTTAATACTGCATTATAAGCTTATAATAGCTAGATAATGTAGCCTATAGGTTAAATGTTTTAGCGTAATTTTTAATTTATTATTCTAAGTACTGTACAATATTAAGAAGCTACACCTAAAGTTCATATTTTTCGTTTGGGATCCATCGAAAACATCTGTTCCAGTCGTGATTATCGGAAAATAAATGGCTTGACATTTTAATGACAGATAATGATAGGTTTGAACGCCATTTTGTGGCAAAATCTTTCGCTTCATTTACACGAAGAGACAGTAGTTTGTAGAAATATTCTATATTTTACTTTTTAATAAAAATTGTTGATTTTCATATTGTTGTTAAATGTTAATTTTGTTTTTAAATTGTAATTCGCCGCTTTCCAGAGTTCTATCAAAGTGATTTTTCATCTCGCCGTAAAGAAAGTACTGTGGATTTTATCCAAAAATTAAATGTTTCCTAAATTAATTGGAGCAAGACTAACGCAAAAAAAGAAAACAATCAGCAGATTTTTCCTTACCCAACATTTACTTCTTTTGTTCTCAATCAGTACCCTATTTGTTACTTATTATTACAATTATTAATTTTAAATTATTACAATTAACATAAACAAATTAGAAATCGGACCAATAATAACAAAATGGCAGCTAAAAATGATTAACACAATGGTTATTCAAATTAATTTTGAACTGCCATTTTGTTATTTATGGTTCGATTTCTATTTTCTTGATATTAATTGTTATGTTTTGTCAAGACTTGTAAAATGATACCAAACTCGACTATACTTGCTATTTAAAAATCTTAAGCTACACCCTGGCCCCACTACCCCTAAGGGCAAAATTTTCGAAACTGACCATAATTATTGTAGCCCTTTATATCCAAACAAGTTGCCGCAAACCAATTTTAAATATCTCAAATAGTTAAAAAGTTAAAGGGGGTGCAAGTTCATTTTCAGCCACCCTCATGGTTATTTGGATTTGAAACGTTTTAGGGCACCATTTTCTTATTAGTGGGCCGATTTTGGTTTTCTTTATGTCAATTTGTATGTTATGTCAGGACCTGTAAAATGATACCAAACTCGACTTGTCGTTTGAAAATGTTGAGCTACCCCCTACCCCCCTACTATCCCTAAGGACAAAATTTTCAAAATTGACCATAGTTATTGTAGCCCCTTACATCTAAGAAGGTTGCCACAAACAGATTTTAAATATCAAATGGTTGCAAAGTTAAGGGGGGTGCAAGTTACTTTTCAGCCACCCTGTATAGTTAATGTTCACTGTACAGAAAAGGAATCCTTGAACTTAGAATTCAAATGTTTACGTTGTTATGTAGGTTCGCTATAACATACTAGATTTTTTTTATTAAATTAGGCTACTTAGGATATTATAGCTTTTATTTTACAGATGTCTGTTATTTAAATATTTTAACGTTGTTTTTAACTTGTTTTGGATGTCATGATTCGACACTTGCTTCAATAATTATTCCCGTCCTCAGCTCTGCCTTGCACTTGAAAATAACACTCGGACATGACATTTTGGTTTGCCTTTCACACAAAAGAAACACGCACTGGAAAATGCCGCTTAAGGTAAGGGTAATGAAAAACCCTATTATCAATCTATGGTAATTATTCTGTTAAGCATGTTAATGATATCAGGTTCTTTAAAAGGGCTACATGGACTGCGTTTAACTGTTTTTAAATAATAATATACAATCCTGCATATCTCTTTCACATTCACCTTAATACATAAGAAGAATCATGATTTTTAAAGAATATATTTTTAATGTATAGACTGATGGAATATAGTATGACAATGCATATGACTTAGTTTTTTTCAAATATAAATGATTCATATCATAGTAGGAAATAATAAGATTAACGTTTATAGAGAAAACTAAAATTATTGGTATGAGTGTAAAGCCTACATCTTAATTAGATGGATAGTTTAAAAACCACTAGTCTTAACGGAAATGGTTATTATGCGTCTAAAAATACGATATATTTATCCCTTTGTACCAGGGAAAACTGTAAAATGTAAAACGAGATACACGAGAAAGAGAACCCTTGTCACCGTATATGATGGATAACTGTTATGATTGATTTTACATCTTCTCTGAAAGCCTATTGTCACTCATGTTCAGATAAAGTTGTCGTGAAATAAAATATTATTAAACCTATTTGGAGTACATTACACACTATTAAGTATTTAATTAGTTCATAACATTAATGTCGATAACATTATTTGATGTAATTTAATTACTTTAATTAGTTGCATTAGCGTGAAATCTATATACCACAGAGTGTTCAAAAGATCTGTTTTCGGTTCTTAACACACATACAAAAGCATAAAAAGCAACATTTTTATATACAGTTTAAGATCCAATTTTATTATTTGTGTTCAATTAAATATGCTATTTTTAATTAATAATTTCCGGTAAAAATATATGTATCTACTCGTAAGTTTTAAGCATCGACAAACATTTATTATATATGTTAAGTCTATGTTTAAACAAAACTGTATTAAATGAGTTCATTAGGTTATTCTATATTTAAACATTATTCTAGGTATAAACAATAAACATACTGTAGTCCTCCCAAGTTTGAGTTTTTACAACAAAGAAAAAGTAGGACATTACCAATGAGATCTAGACTACAAGGTTATGTGTTTAATTTGTTACATTTACACATCACCTTTGTGTTTTATATCTTCACAGCCTTGGGACTTCCACTTGAATTTTATACATATGCTTTTGGCAATGTAAATCTAAACATTAAATCATATCAGTAATTTGCACGGATGCAACAGTTCATCACCGCTCAATTATTTAGTCCAAACGAAAAGAGCTCAGAATACTTTCGATAAAAAATCTATATAAAAATGGGTTTTTATTAATTATTTACAAAAGCAACCTCGGAGTCAAAATTTCGTCGATAAACTTTAGTTTATAATGTTCAACAAATATCTCGCATATATTTGCGTAAAGTTTGTTCACGTTTAATAACAACGCGAAAAATTGAAATGTCAACGATCGAATAAAGAAAATCTTTCACGTATTTCATTGCATTATATCCTTGAAATTATTTCTTAATCTACATTCATCATACTTTTAATGGTACATGGTTTGGTAAGGGCTTAGTTATTGTTAATTTGTCCTTACAAAGTTAATTTTTTTACCATAACCTTTAGCGTACTTACAGTAAGCACCTATGTCTGCTAGTTCCTAAATTTATCTATTAACCTTTGTCCTAATTGAAAGACAAATACATTTGTTATTTTTGACAAACGGCTCTTGTGTTTTAATTATTTTGTTTGTTATCGTTTATGTTTATAATTAATTTCATAAAAATAAAAATGACTTTACTAGAAAACTATTCTGTGTAATAAAACTTAATAACTTGTGGCAGTGGTCAAAAGATTAAGGTAATATAAAATCATATCTATTAATTCATACGTCAACTAAACATTATGTATTTGAAAGCCCCACCACCTATAGATTTGAACAAAAACACTGTTGATGAATAGGCTAGATTTAAGTAAAAATTATTTTTTTATTTAGAAGCTACTGAGAAATTTAAAAAGCCCTGCAAACTAAAGTTGCATTACTTCTTTGCTTAATGGGGAATGATTGTTTGGACATTTTCAACAACTTCAAACTATCAGATACAGATAAGTACAATTTAAATTATGTTGTTCAATGTTTTCATGACTACTTTAGGCCAAAAGTCAACACTGTTGTAAACAGATATGAGTTTTTCATAATGAGACAATAGTTATTTGTGCAACTAGTGAGCAAAGGGAGCAATTGACTCGCTCGAGAGAAATACTTTCTCACGAGCCGTAGGCGAGTGAGGAACGGTTTCTCGAGTGAGGCAATTGCACTTTGCACTCGAGTTGCACATTATATTTTTCCTACAGTTACCATAAAACAAATACATTGGTAAAGAAACGTGACATATTTTACACAGAAGTGAACTTTTAATATGACATTTAATGATACAACAGTACAACAGCTGAACAGCTGATTTACAGCCAGTGCTGCCAACGAATTTCGCGCGCATACGACCTTGTCTGCATGTTACGCGCTCACTATTTCGTGCCTTCACGTTGCAAATCTGGAGTGAGTGATACAAAGTAATTAGAGTGAGACAATGTTAGCATTGTCTCACTGATGAGCAAATTGGCCACTTTGCTTTCTCAAATCAGTGAGAGAACATGTACATTGTTAGGTAACTGTAGGAAAAGACCAGAGGAACCAATTGACACATTTGTATCCCACCTGAAAACTCAGGCAAGATAATGCCAGTTTAGCGAACAAGAAGAAAATTTGGCTAGGGATTTGCTTATTATGGGATCCAAAACTACCAAGAAAGGCTGCTAATAGAATCTTATTTAAAGCTTGATACGGCTATTCACTATTGTAAGGCTAGGGCAAAGAGTCAAAAAACAATTTTAAAACATGGAAGGGGTTGTTCTATTCAAAACTATCACGAGTCCAAATTTTTTTAGATAATTAAGAATAATGATTTCAGGCCTGCTAAAAATGAAATTAAGAAGACCTGTTTTAGCTGTAAGACTCTAAGGGACTTACCCCTCGCTGTAAATAAAGCATGTGAGTGATTGGAATTTCTCCCATTTATTTAGATTTTATGTTTATATTTCGTTGTTGTTTTGTAACCAGCATGGCAACCCATAGCACCCATGTTAATTAAAAAAAAATTTTAAATAATTTTTTTCTGCTTATATTTGAGCCTATTTTTAGTTATTGTAAGGGATTCTAAAGAAAAATTATTGCAAATTAATGTATAGATTCATGTTTTCAAGGGTAAACAAATATTTTAGGACCTACACATCTTGTCTTTTTAATTTATTTAACTACATATTTCAAATTTGTTATGCAGTAAAACACGTTTTCAAACAACAAAAATAATCTAAATATTTTAATTTCGTCTAGTAAAATATAAATAGCTGTTCCCTTAATTAATAGTGCAGATTCAAAAGTATTTAAGTGTTCAAATGTAAACAAATCTTTTCTCCCTAAGGATAACATGGGAACTTTAAAACCCACTGGGACAGAGAGCCCTGATGGAATTTCTTGAAAACGATTCTTATTGCACTTCTAGACGTTGATTGGAACCTCCATGCCAATTCCTGAGTTGTTGTGGCTTGTCGCTTTTTTATATAGTGATCAGTGAGTGAGTGGTATTTGACTTTTATAAGTTAGTATAGATAGTTTATTGCAAGTTATACGTTAATGGGGATTGATCCATTAATATCAGCGCAGATTCTCACAGGGGTTATTTGATGACAAATCATGTTCTTGAACAAACTTAAGGAAAATATTTAATCTAAAACTGATCCAACATAAGTTTTGTAACTACAGATCTCAAACTACAGTTTGCGAGAAATAACGGTGTACCGAAGAATTTAGTTTTATGTAGTCAAAAATAGTAAATATGTGCAAACCCTTTAAAAAAAATTACTTAATATAATATTGTAAGAAGGAAACGCAAAATCGTAATGTTATCTAGTACCTTCAATTAATTGAAGCATCGGGATAAATTTAAATACGTTTTAAGAATGAAACAAACGTAATTGGGTTAAAAACTGCTCAAAAGACTTGCATTTACCAAATATTGTAACTAAAGATATATTTATAACTTGTGAACCATCAGGCCATCAACTTATTGTTTGCTTCTTTAAAATACAGTAGAAATTCTATTGGACCAATGTTATTTAATTTGCCTACTATATCAGACCAAAACGCAAACATCTTATAATTTCTAGAACAAAACTAAAAATTGTGCAAGAAGTGAGTCAAACATTTTAGATATCAGTTAAATGAAATTTTTTGGTCAAATCTACTATTCAGATAAAACCAAAGTTTGCATGCTAGAATAACTTTTAGTCATAATGTGTTGTGTAATGAGGCTTTAGAGTAAAGTTAACTTTTTTGCTGTAGTGTGGTCTAGCCCAGGACAACTGGTATCTATTATTTCATTACACTTCAGTTCATCTGGTAGGTCTTTCTTCTCTATAAAAGATAACCATGTTTAATCTTTAAAAGTATTTGAAACCATTGAGATTTATTCGTTTTGAAGGTATATGATGGTTAGTAACAAATTAAACAACAAACACTGTAGGCTAAATAATTAAAACACAATGATGAAGCATATGAAGTAATTTATTTCCAATCATAGTATAGCATTTTACAAATAAGTTTAATGAAGCTATTTAATAAAACAAATCAGAAGACATAAAATTAAAGTTATGTTTATTTTGAATCTGAAGATACAAGGTATATAAGTTCCTTAAAGAAATACCAAGGAAATGTTTGATAAAATGATCATAGGCCCTCTTTTGTACATCGTATAAATTATTATGAGTTTGATATGTACTTAGAACCAGCTATTAAACGAGTTGTTTTATTAGCATTATACGTTTGATATAGGTATATGAACCAAAGTGATCATTTCATAATCACCGACACAATATAACACAATATAATTTGATGTAACTATTTAACATTCGGCAATAAACCCAGTGCTTCGTCCATTATTCTTAAATCCTGCTCATCGATATCCTGAGGTAAGGCTCTGTTGTAATTGTGTGGATTTGGATTCTTACACATTTTCTTCCAGCTGCCCTCATCATAAATAAAGCCATGCAACGCTTGTTCAAACTTTGAGAGTTTACAATCCTCGTTACCACACAAGGGCTTCAAGGTTATGGCTCTAAATATTTTGTCCTTGTCCACTCCTAAAGGATTGTAATAGTATATCTGAAATGAAACATGCAGTAACTTAGAATATTTACATACTCTACGGTACTCCAATGATACATTCTGTAGTCGTAAGTGAAAAAGATTTGAATTTTCAAGGTTGGAAGTGGTACGATGGGATATGTGAACATGGGACATGTACGGTGGAAGGCTGACACCTAGGGAACCTTAGTTGGGACTTTGCTCCTACGGGTATAACTTTTTTGGCCACAATAGGATGTCCCTCAGCATACAATAAGCTAATAGACATGTCAAGTTCCTAGTTCTGAAAATATTGGTGGACTCGGGTGTCGAGCTCAAGAATAAGATGGTGGTACTCAGCAAGGGTAGTCTTCTCCAAGGAAACCCCGGTAGTTGGCAAAATGAAGATGTAGAGAAAGCATTTCTACCATTGAATCCACGTTTGAAATACATAAGCTTAGATCAGTAACACTGATTTTAACTTGAAAGCAACATGCAGAGTTGCTTGTCTTTGTAAAGTATTACAAATCCCAAATAATTAAAACCTGGTAATCAATATTAATTTACCAGGTTCAGATGCTTGAACATCTGCAAAAAAAGAGTTTTAAAATTTAAAAAGTAATATCAATAAAAAAAACTATAATATAAGTCTTGATTAAACGCTAAATAAGTATTGCACATAAGTGGAACTAAAGATATCGACTTTGTTTTATCAATGTTGCGGGAAGATCGTCCGTTGGAGATAGAAATCCTTCAACTTTAACCAACATATTAAGACAGGCTTTAAGACAGGCATTCATTATTAGTCAAATAATAGTCTCTACCGTCTCTCTACTGCAGCCTTGTTGTCGAGGGAAATTGAAGGACTAATTTGAATCCCGCCATGATTTTTGAGTCACTAACTTGTGCTAAAAAACAGTGTTATCTTGTCACAGTCCTTCCGTTTTTCAGTCCTTTGTGGTCATCAATTAAACCTTTCTTAACGATAAAAGAATGTGTCCCCTCAAAAGCTTCCTGGCCTCAACTCATAGATAATATCGTTGAGTATACACGTATATACTCAATGATACTACCTAGCTCTTAGTGCAATGCATGTGAAGTCAGCTCAAAATGCAAAGTATTACAAATCCCAAATAATTAAAACCTGGTAATCAATATTAATTTACCAGGTTCAGATGCTTGAACATCTGCAAAAAAAGAGTTTTAAAATTTAAAAAGTAATATCAATAAAAAAAAACTATAATATAAGTCTTGATTAAACGCTAAATAAGTATTGCACATAAGTGGAACTAAAGATATCGACTTTGTTTTATCAATGTTGCGGGAAGATTGTCCGTTGGAGATAGAAATCCTTCAACTTTAACCAACATATTAAGACAGGCTTTAAGACAGGCATTATTAGTCAAATAATAGTCTCTACCGTCTCTCTACTGCAGCCTTGTTGTCGAGGGAAATTGAAGGACTAATTTGAATCCCGCCATGATTTTTGAGTCACTAACTTGTGCTAAAAAACAGTGTTATCTTGTCACAGTCCTTCCGTTTTTCAGTCCTTTGTGGTCATCAATTAAACCTTTCTTAACGATAAAAGAATGTGTCCCCTCAAAAGCTTCCTGGCCTCAACTCATAGATAATATCGTTGAGTATACACGTATATACTCAATGATACTACCTAGCTCTTAGTGCAATGCATGTGAAGTCAGCTCAAAATGCATTCCCTCGATCAGATTGGTATGCGCACAAAGAGTGAGGGAAATGTTAAAGGAATCGATCCCAACTGAATATAATCCTACCTGGTCAAATCCGTAACAGGTGTTAGGAAGGGACATCCAATGTTAACCAGAATAATTAAATTTAGACCGGGTAGAATTCAACGTACATTTACGAGTGTGTGCAGTCGTTATTTTTCTTCATTAACATGACACAATAAAAGAGCAGTGACGTTTATTATAAGGATATTTTTCATCAATCACTCCATAACACCTACCTGAACTAGATCATCTGATGTCACCTCTATGATAAGTGTGTCTCCTGGAAGTGCAATGCTTGTCTCGTCTTCGCTGATGACCCAAAGTAGAGGACTGACGGTGATATCGTGAGATCCGTGGAAATGAATTTTCATCTTCCGGTCAATTGATGTAATCGCCTTTTGATCTTCCATATTGTGGATCTCCGAAAATATTTGATTGAGGATAGGCCCTGTCGAAGAGAACAAAGACTATAAACAATTGGCAATCTCGAATTATATAGTTTCAATGCATCTATTTAATTAATAAATTATGAAGTAAGCAGTGAAATTGTATTTGCGCTGTAACAGTTACAGTTGCATAACGTAAGTATTTATTTTGGGACTTTATACTATCGTTTAACTTAATAACTACAAAACATCTGTAAAGTCTTCTATACTGTCACAGACTATGCATATTTGATTGTATTTATTATTTGCTCTAAAATAAATCCATGCTATCTTTTTCAATACATACAATGTATTTCCTCAACGCTGTATATTTCGGTTGGAAACGGGTGATTAGAAACGGGAAATTATAACCTTGCCAACGTCTTCGAATTAAGTGCAAGAGTTGGACGAACTACAGTAACTCCACTTCCTTATCCTGTGTCATTACAACAGTCCTCTGGGCGTTTTTCCCTCATTCAAATAACGCGTAATAATGAATTTGCTATGCCACACGTAGATATGGTCCTTAAAGATTATCTTTTCTGTAACAGACCCTAAATCAACGCTGAAGAACTATCAAGAATTATTTTAAACTCAAGGACACAAAATACTTCTCCGTAAGTTGAGGATACGTTTTATTACGAAACACTAAACTTGGCTAGAGATGTTTAGCATATTGATTGAATTGTTGACAGTCAGCTTTGACAAATAAATACTGGCCCAATTGACAACAGACTAATTTAAGCTATGTAATTGTGGGTTTATGGATATGTGTTTACTTCTTTTTTAATTCATCTTACATCTTTATATCCAAAACGTGGTCAAAAATTATTATCATTGAATTAAATTGTTGTCCAGTTATCAACCTAGAAATACCAGAGTCTCCCAGTAACTAACTATAAACTTAGGGCCTAAGTTGAAAATTTAGAACTCTTTACCAACTATATACTGCACCATGTTGGTTTTGCTGTAAATCTCGCGCCATAAGCAGAGTTGAAAAGCTTTTCGCATCACTGGAAGCGCGTAAGAAATACTGTCTGGAGCAACAAATTCTTGACCGTCAAGAATCTAGAAAAGAAAAAAATATTTTAGTGGAGGATTTCAATAACAAATATTCAGTAACACAGTTGTTTAATATATCTGCCAAGAGGAAATAAAACTTAATTTATTCCCACTTTGTGTTTGTAATTCACGTTCGTTTTTTTACATTGTTTTTTAAACCTCCACTTACCCATGATTGAAACGTATCATATATAGTAGCGCTATCCGACATAGATTTTACAAAGTTCTTTTTGTGGTAAATTGTTTCAATCATTTGGCCAAGTTTTTTATAATATGTCATTCTCATAGGGGAGGTTTCTCTTTTTTCTTCGTTTGACGCTTGCTTTTTCAGTTTTGCATAAAGAGTACATCCTTTATGTAATACCTAAAACAAATGAACGTTATAACAGTAACATGTGTAAAACTCTTTTTTTTACCAAGTTGACTATTATGTTTAAAATACATCGGTAATTGTTTTAAACGACTGGTTTGGTTTTGGCCTTATTTTGATATGCCCACATTACCTATTGCTTGGTTAAAAATTGTTTCCCAGAGTTTTGAGAAATATTTGTTTGTGTTTATTTCACTCACAATCGTCATTGCACTGTTCTCACATAAATTATTTTGATAAGTTGTTAATTTAAAATAGTCGAAATCTCCTTAAATACACTCAAATATATCACTTTCTATATGACAAAAGTAAAATTTATGGATGTCGTACACAATATAAATATTAGTAGTATCAAAACATGAGAGATTCCTTAACTTATAAGCCACTCGTAATGGTCAACATTCACCAAAATGAATGGATAAACTAATATAAGAGTGTATCAGAGTCATTGTTGCATTAATCCAATTAACCTAATTAATCTTACATTGTATGAATAGCTATTTACCTTACAAATGTAGTAAGAGCGTTTTTACATCACGCAGGTGAAGGTTGTGCAACGAGCGGAAGCGAGTTGCATAATTTACCTAAGTGATGTAAACACGCTCTTGCGTAACGTGTAATGTACAAGATGTTACCTTACCCGACAATATACAGGAGGTTACGAACAATATTAATCAATATCCATTTCACTCATCTTCTAACAGTAACGTTCATTTACAAACAAAAGCTAGGTTAGGAAAATTCTTCAAAACATAATAATAAAATTCAAGAGCACAGCTGATTTCTAGCGTTGAACGTCGTTGGCTCCATAGAGTTATATTTATTAAGTTAATCACTCAATGTTATTTAAATGGATTTCATTACATCACCGAGTGAGTTTTTGATACTTTACATCACTCGAGAAGTAAGGAAGTTGTATACATCACGCTTGGGATAGGGAAGTTTAACATGGCAGGTTAGGTAAATATTTTTAATAATTTAAAGCGAATGTCTTAGAAAAGCCGGTGTATAGCTGTCGACATTATACAACATTTATGTTCTTTAACTACCACATTAGAAATATTTTTAGTGAGTGAGAGTTGGCCAAGTAGTTGAGTGCTAGGCTTTAGTCTCCGGGGTTTTAGGATCAAATCCCTCCAATTCCCTTAGGGCTTAGCTATGTTAGTATCGACCCTCTACGCATAGCCTGAAGTAAAGTGTTTATGGTTGCGGGCTAGAAGCAATCCTAGGGTGGGATAGAAGGATAAGAACTAAAATACTACTAGTATTTTAACTAAAATAACTAGGATACTAGTAAATTGAACTTCGAACTCACGTGGGACTTGTCGTAATCAGCATTATGAATATCTATATTTCCTTTGCATGGTGACTTGTTGCCATCAAAACGAGCATTCAATAGGTATCCAGGATCCTTAGCAACAAACAGCCCTGTTGCAAGACACTGTGTGCTCCGTCTAGTTCTAGATACTGGGGTAGAGGAGAAATGTACCACCTTCGGGTCAAATAAAGGCACTTGGTCTTTGTAGCGAGTACCAAGTGACTTGCCAACCTGAAGCATTAGCTCTTCTCCTCTCTGTAACAAAAAACACAGCCAAGTTCATACTGAATTTTGTTTGTGTTTTTGCAAATCAAGTCGAACTATAACTTAATTCTTTAACAAAAATGGTATGAACTGTTTCGATTTCGTTAAGACAACAACATTCAAATTCAATTTGCTGATATCACAGTACGAGATAAAGTACATGATGTTTAATTACGTAAGAAATCGATCAAACCAAAGATTTTAATATACAAGTAATTTAGCGATATATTGACAGATCTTAGAACGACATATAATTCAGAGCTTAGAACTACCCATCTTACGATGTCGATAATTAAGATGTATCGAGCAAAAACACTATACGTAACTAACAACAACTAGGCGTTGATTTAATACCGAACATCGGTCTACGGCAACGTTTTGTGACGGTCAAATATAGATTTTTGTTATTTGGTTTTCCAATGCGGGCTGGCCACACAAAGCTTCCCATGAGAGAATCGTGGATTTGTTAAGTCTAATCCACAAACTTGTATTGTTGTTAATTGCCCTTGGGTTCTGTCTATATTTATTGAAAATGCAAGGGGCGTTCTATACCTAACGATCACTTTGATTTCAATTTTTATCTGTCGGAACATCGGAATCCGTGTCAAGGAAACTTTTTCTCCTTTAAGCTTGCCATTCAAAACAAACCCGTATATTTAATTATTCGTCATCAGTTTTATTGGTCTTGTGTCTGTACGTACTCTTGGAGGATATATACATTTCTATATATGATCATACGACTTGTATCATAAACTATTCTTAGCCTATACATGAGGGAGTTCAAGATTGTATTGACCATTATTGATAACATATTTACAGACATTTACTCCCAGCTAATTAGTTGTAGGGTTGTTCAGGCCACCTTGTCGGATCACCATGGCCAAGAAGACATTATTATTTACCTACTCCTTCTCCTCTACCAGGTTGTCCTAAGTTTATCATATTAAGGACATTCACTTAGAAAAGCACTTTTTGTATAATACATTGACAACACGATTACGAGATGACTTTTTCACATATAAACTGTTAGAACTTGTATTTACGTAGGTAGTCAATACGCGTTTACAATAGTGTACGTACCACAGCGGAGTTTACTTACTTACAGAGGTCAGTGTTCCTGAGTCACATTTCCATACGAACAGAAAACAGAAAACAGAAAAACAGGATTTAAAAGGGTTCCTTATTGGTTTTCTAATCCCATGTCTGGATATCTAAAAAAAATGTCTGATTACAGTAATTTCACATTATATTTACATCCACTGTTAATCATAAACAGTATATTATATACAGTTGTTGTAGCTTCCTTTTTTGGGGGGTATTATCATACATGTTCTTTATTCTTTAGGGCATTAAAAAAGGTTAAGCTATGCTGCGAAGAATAATGTATTTAAACGTAGTTACAAAGACATGGGTAGTAACTGATAATAATAAAAAATTCTAGGTATTTTAAAGGTTTCTAATAACTGTATTGCAGGCATGGTTTACAAATCTATTTTTAATATAATGCATTATTCCGGAGGCTAAAAAACCCATTTTAATTATTCTAGCCAAATCACTAAAACAAAATCTATAAATGCTTAGTAGGCTATAATATTGGATGTCCCAATTAATTCAAGGCCGTTGGCTTCCATATGAAGTTCAACATATCATCAAAATTGATGAACTTGGTCTCAAAATTGCTGTTGCATTTTTACACCTACAGTATGCAGAAGATAATATTAAGTCCTCAATTTATGGGAACAACTCCAGTTCCTCCACTTTTGGCAAACGTTCACGAATACAGAACACATTTACTTCAGCATCAGAACAAAAAAAAACCGAGAGGCCAGATTAAACTTAGTTCTAAGACATTGCACATTTAAGAATGACATATTACACGAATTTACATTATTTACACGAGTCACCTAGATTCACTTTGCACCAAACTTAATTCATTGATGATCTTAGATGATCTTGTTACCTTACAGTAATTAATGGTTAGGGCAACACCTAGAATGCTGTATAACGGTCATTTACATCTGTTCTGTTTAGTTTTGTGGCTTTTACGATAAAGTAGGGGACAGGAAATTTAGTAAAGCCATAAACTAGTTACTACTATCTTAACCCTAAATATACTTGTTATGCAGAACTACTCTATACCAACCCACTGATATGAGTATCTAGTTACTTATGGTGTCATAGTGTTTCACGATTTATAGCTTTGCTTTATCTGAAAAAATTAAATAATTCCCTACAGATAATCAGACTCAAGAAGTAATCAACTTTAGTACTTACAATGAAAGCGTACTGTAGATTTTCAGGAGCTTTGGGAAGAATATCTTTTTCGGTAAATAGTCTAAAACTCTTCACAATCTTTACATCTGTTGACTTATCTAAAGAACTTCCTGCTTCCGCCAAAAAAACGAACACTGAAAAATCAAAATTAAAAATTAAAGGAAACAGCAATTTATGATAACAGTAAAAGTAACAAAATCTAAATGTAACCCTTATGGTTGTTATTCATAGCACTGCTATTTATATTATACATTATGCAAAGTTTATATGTTAGTAGAGTTTGTACATAATATACAGGCTGTACATAATCGTAGATAGTGATTCCTTGGGTCAAAATAGAAAGAAAATCATGAATAATCTTTTTTTCCGAAATCGCTTCGTTAGCCAGATTTCCGCTATTTTGTATTTTGTACATAAACATGTTTATCTTCAAAGTTTTTCAATCGATTTTAAAGAACTTGGAATTATGTTAAGGTACAAAAGGTCCAATTAGGGAAAAAATCATTTTGATTCAACTTGTAGTTTTAAAATGGTGGCCATTAAAAATATTTAAACTTAAACTACTCAAAAACGGCTGTTTGAAAAAAAATTCAGGAACACTATTAAGATTTTGAATTTTAAAATGGGACGACCCCATTTTAAAACTATAAATCGTAATATTCAAGCTATTTCTTATTCGATATTAATGAACTTTGTATCGTTCGATATGGAGTTTAAAAAGATAAATAAAAATGTTTCTGAAATTTGTTTCATAAAACAGGCAATTTATGAGTAATTTATGTCAAAAAATTTTAAATGGCCGCCATTTTGAAATAATACGTTGAATTAAAATGATTTTTTTCTAACATGGGTCTCTTCTGCCTTAACATACATACCAAGTTTCATAAAGATCGGTTGAAAATCTTCGATGGTAAAAATGATTGTGTAAAAAATACCTAATCGACTAATATATGGTTTACAAAGCGATAAAAATATGTTTTTCTTGATTGCCTCTTAATTTTGACCCAAGGAATGACTACGTAAATTGTGTCCCCACCTTTTTTTAGCAACCTGTAAATATATTTATTAGTAAAGTTAATAACTAAAAACAGTAACAGACTCTACTTTACCTAGAATGATGATCGTCGACATACCAACGCCAAGTGATGGTTCGGTTGACGATTAAAATATAACATCAAGCCATCTGTTGTGTAACGTAAATAATTGGGCTGATTGCACTACAAGCGCGGCTTATCAAACCGTTTTTGTTAGCTCGCTTTCTTGTACGGTACAAATTTTGCAATCAATTTTATACTAACTTCCCGATGAGCTATAGATTTGAATCTTGAAACATAGCTCACACCTGGATGAAAATGCAGTATTATATCATTTAATTTTCATATTTCCCTTTACCTGCCCCCAATGGGCTTCCAAAATTTCCATGTTTACATTTTTAAAGAATGTAAAATATATCAATTAATTTAAGTAGCTGTAAATACTTAAATTTTACAGTTAGAAGAACAGAGGCTAAGAGGTATAGGTTCTGCTCCCGAGATACTCGAAAAATATAAAACAAGCAATAACAATAGTTATAGGTAATAAATAATAAACAACAATAATTGTGAAAACTTAACGAAAGGTAGTTTCATTCTTACAAGCAACTATTGACCTAAATTTGCCTTTGGTACCATATCTATGAGATAACATTGCTTAAATAATCGATGTTTTGCTGTGCAGTAAGCCAGAGACTCAATGGTTTGGAGAATGATTTTAAATTTGCAAGATGTTTAATGTTTGAAGGAACTTGATTGAAATACTTTGGTCCTAAATACTCAAAAGAATGGCGAAACATTTATTTGTTGACTTTAAGTGGTCTGAAATTATTTTGACGTACATCTGCATACGACCTTTATTGTTATTGTATATTTCAATACTATGGCCTAAAGTGTTTTTTTTAACAAAGCTCAAGTTTTAAGATCGGGGCAAAGCAAATGTCAAAAAATGAGCGCTGGTTGAAAAGAACTATATTTTTCATCATATTGTACCATTATTATAACAAAACATGATACATAACTAAAATATTTTTCTTTTAAAGTACCTCTCAAAATGACTTCTAACTTGTTTTCAATGCAACTTGCTATTGGAAACAAGCAGCTGTTTAGTAAGGGATTCCATCGTTTCGTATATTACGAATGTGTTAGTGTACATTATAGTATTTACATATCGAACCATTTACAATATTGCAACAATAATTTACAACCATTTGAACATATATACTTTCGATGCATGCGATTGTTTACGATAGAATTTTACAAATGGAATGATTTCTACCGCCTAAGGGCTAAAACCGTTTTTACCCCATACAGAGCAAAAAAAGGCTACTTTAGACCCGCAATGCATGCATTAAAAACGACTGTTTTTGCTGCAGTATGACGAAAGAGTATATTTCGTACCTAGGGCCGAAAATGAGCTTTTGCCGGCTCGAGATAGTTTTTAAGTTCGAGACGAAGTCGAGATAGTCAACGCAACTTTAAGGTTATGTGAAGAAGTAATTTCAGTAATCAGCAAAAATAATAATAAACGGTTGCTAGGCAACGGTGAAAATGAAACAATTCTATTGCAATGTTATGGATACTGTTTGTGTATTTAATATGCAAGCGGGCAGCTGATTTTGCGGCCCTAGGGATGTAAAAACCTACTCGGTCCCCAAATAAGGATGACAGCTGGCATGGCCATCAACACGTAACTTTCAGCCTCTAATTAACGTATGTAAAACAGCTAACAACATCATAGTGTGGTGAAATATATTATTAAGTATATTATAAGTTATTTTTTAATATTAAGATTATTGAGTTTGGTAGTTACAAAAATAACAACAAAATGTGCACAATGAATAGGAATCATCACTGCTGCTCAGCTAAACAAAGTCAACTACGGTACTACTGTACTATTTTAACAGATTACTAATAGACTGCAAACGATGTTTATGTAGGCTACATTGACCATAGACTGCTCTCAGATCATTCTAATGATTTCCCCCAAGCAAAGCTTGGTCCCCAGGTACTCATTTATAAATTGGGGCAATCTCTTTGCCTCAAACTCTACCATGACATTTTTAAATTAGTCTAATGGTTAACATCACATTTCTCTGCTACTATGAGGTCACTTACTCGCAATTGTGGCATGAACTTTTTTCCTGTGGCTAGTGATTCAGCATTATGGTTTCCTTTCCAGACGTATAATTAAATGTAGCTATAATTTAGCACATAATGACTTCAATCAATCAAATTTTATAACAGGAACTCAACTATGCAATTACCATAATAACTGTAAAACTCTAGCCTACACTTTTCGATCCAGTATGCGTAAGACACTCCTTTGAGTTAGTTTAATTCAATAAAATGTTTAAATGTTTATAAATAGTTTTTAATATTGTTTATTATCGTCACAGTGCCTATAATTTATGTGGTTAACGTTTTTGGGATACTAGATATGTGTGCGGTACATGACATGTTATGTGAGTTATACAATTAATTAGTTTTCGTAACTATTTAAAGTGGAAATGCTTAAGATATCATATTTTAAATGTTTAATTTTGCTTATAATATATTGCTCAAAATAAATATATTCCCTTAAACGTTATATAACGTTTTTATAAATATGAACACGCTGAAAACATGACGTTTTATACAAACTAGTGGTCGTCCCATGTCAAAAAATATGTAATGTACAGTTTTCTCTATTTTAACCCCACAAACACTGTAAATAATACTCATGTGATTGTACCATCTTCCATTTGTTTTGATTTTCTGTTTACATTTTGTTGTTATTTCGTCACCACATTGGGAACCCATAAAGCCAATGTAAATTTTGTTTATATTTTAAATTTACTTTGTGTGCATATTTTTCAGTCTATTTAAATTAAAATAATGGAATTTTGTACATCTACAGGAAAATTCTAACAGCATGTGCAGCTTTTTACTGCGATGAACACGAGCTGAGGAAAAAGGATTTAAAGAAAATTGCTTACTTATATACAGTATATATATATATAACTAAAAAAAAACATATTTAAGACTTGCGATCGTAATTTATTAGCGTTTATGTTATAAATTCTTTGGCTCGGGAAATAATAATCTCATCCACTTTGTATAAAGCTCAGTTGTTTGTATTTTAAAGAGGTTGGTTTGATTTTAAATCTATAATTTTACCATCAACGTGGTCTTCTAAGGAACAAGCCAATCAAAGGGCGACCTTTAATACAACAATGTTCTGAAGTCATAATTCTATAGGTGGCAAAACTAGTATTTTAACCGTAGTCATCAATACTGGTTTTATACTGAAAATACTTTTGATTAACCTATTTATAAGGTTACTACAGTTCAAGTTTGAAAGATCTTTAAAATGTGTTTGAACATGTAATTTAAAGAACCTATGTGGTCTCGTTGTTAAACACATTCTGTTAAATGATGAAATGTTTTTACTTACCGTGTTTAAGCTACGTTGTTTATAGGATTTACGATGTATATGGTTTTAATTAGGGAAGGTTGTAAGATTGTTTTTCATATTTGTTTTAAGGCAAATTTAAAACATTTATATTTATATATTATTATAATGTCCACAGTGGTTGCCGCATGTCTTACGGTAGACTGTCAAAACTCAAGCGTAAGATCTTATGCAGATGAAGCAAAGGTTAATCCCATTTACGGTTCTCCAGCTGAGGTCAACAATCTACCAGAGGCTCCAGCCAATCTAAGATATGCGTTTATTGTTAGTAACCTGCAAATATTTACGATACTCTTAGAGTGATGTATACTACACGTTATACCACAGTTCGTAGGTCTATTGTATATATGTTTTGTGTAAATCCCATGTTCAAAATAATATTTCATTTTGTACTAACCGTTTTCATGATTTGGACACTTTGCGAATGCTTTCTGAAGTTGTAGGTTTTAGCGTGAATATCTTTAGAAAAATATAATTAATTGATTAGATATTAACTCAGTTGTTTTGTGTTATATCACTGTCGTTGTATATCAGACATTGAGTTCAAATTAAATATACATTACGTGTTTATAATCTTGAAAAACATTTTTAAAGTGCGTGCTTATTACATCGCTAAAAAGATTAAACTTAGAATAATATAATGGGCATATAATATCCAATAATAATTTTTACAATAGGTTTACATAAGAATCATTAAGTGCTTGTGTTAGATAACTAACAGTATCAACAACAGAAATTTTCCAATGAAAATTAAAAATTTGTTTCAGTATGCTAAACGTAAGCTTAATAAATTTGTAACCCCAAAACTTTGTTTATAATATAGCCTTTTATATAAAACACATAGAATATAGTATTGTACAAGTATTAACTAATATACCTGTTAAACTACTTCAAGATATTCCGACATGGTATCAGAAGCCCAATATATTTCCCGTTTCAAACTAAGGAGGAATTCGAAACAATGTGGCCCAACGGATTGGGAGAGTTGACCGCTGTGAGTATACACATATACAAATTATAATCATTGTAATCATCATTCCAATGAGCCAAATCAACCTTTTACGGCATGTTGGATGCCTTTGGTTGTAGAAAATTGTAGATGATTAGACAAAGGGATCATTAATACTTTGAATGATATTGGGTAAAATATACTAGGGGTTTTGTTTATACTCCGTTCACAAGTCTTAGGCGATTTGAGGATGTAGATCAAATCACATCAAACTTAAAGTGTGATTCAGTAACCACTCTTTCAGTATCATGAAGCATTCTGCTTAACGCCTTATTGAACTCTAATGGTTCTACACAACGATAACTTTTTATAAGACCTCTAAAACGAAATCGTTCACAAAAACATTAGAATGGGTTGCTTGTCTAGTGATTCGTGTCTTAGATCTCAGTGAAAGAAAGGTAAGTTTGATCCTCTCAGTATATCCAAATGTTTTGAGATAATTAAACCGCTTCTCATAAACGTTGGCATTTTTCTGTAAACAATATCACTCTCGTTGAAAATAAAGGAACCAGAATAATGTATCTAGCGAGAAAACTACGTTTAAGACGTTGATTATATTCTAAACAAAGAATTATAGGTTTTTATTTACTCTTTTAAAATTAAAAATTTTACATCCCATTTCCAGAATGGCAAGCGCCTGATGTACAACGTAGGTAGGTCACTGAGGACGCGGTACCACAAGCTCATTCCTCGGTACCACAAGAACATCGTGTCTGTGACTTCCTCAGAGTCCTCGAGGGCGGCGGAGAGCGCCTCGTATGTGGCCGCAGGCATGTTCCACCCCGACACCGAGCCAGTGTTTGACAAGAAGGAGGGAAGCACCACCTGGAGGCGTGTACCTATCTGGGAGAACGCACTGTTCGACAAACACAAGGTTTTGAAGAATAGCTATGCAAATAGCTATGATTAAAACTAATATTAAAAATGGATTACAATCAAAAATATTATTTTATACTGGGTGTATTATACCACTCATCAAAATTAATTCGATCAAAGCGCATCCGCGAGTCTCTGGAATGTCATTCAGAACATTAGTAGTAATCACGCCAAAAACAATAGTTAGGTGTTTAGAGATACATCGTTCATCTCCTTAATGGCTAAGAAACCTTCTCAGTACATAGCAGAGGTAGTTATTTTATGAATTCTTTTGCTAAGCTTCAGTCATACAGTCTCATCTAAAATACAACGGAGCTATCATCTAGGTCCACTTATCATCCAGGTGATAATGTCGTATAAAAATGTATTGTCAAAGCTTTTGCAATTGACTGATGCAAGAAAGGGTTACCAATTCCCTCTCATTGGCTTTTTTCTGTGTTTAATACAATAATTTTATAAATATAGATAACGGCTTACTATGTATGTGTTAGCTTGGTGCTTAAATCAGCGAGGTTAGCTCATTGAAAAAAGTGAAAGCCAAAATTGTAGATAGTCTCCTTTCGTTGTAAGGCTTCTTTGTTATTTTAAACCAACCCGTAGTGCAGAATATTGATTTTAAAATTCTGCATTGTTGACTTCCAACACACGGATTTTTTTAAAGTGGGGAAAAAAAACATCTTAAACTATTAAATACCTTAAGAAAGCTTAACTACAAAATGTCTTACAATAGTTAAATATTTATACTATATTAACATCACTTTTAAGCATTGAGCTATTGAGCATCACTTTTAAGTAGGAAAGGTATTTAACAAACATATATGTTGTACAACTACAGTAGTTTTTTTTGTTTTTTTTTACAAAACTGGTTTTCTTTAGTGGAGATATTATCAATAGAATATCAAGAGATTTAATATTTAATATAATATTGATTTGATTTTAAATAACCAATTATTAGATAAAGATCAACGCTAGTGACGGTTGTGAATTCATAAAAATTATCAGTAATAAGCTTAGGATCACATATAAAACTAAGATATGTTCTTCGATTTCATTAGTTGTTTTCTATCAGCTGTTTAGTCAGAAAAGAGACCGAAGCCAATGTCCAAAATTTACCGCAATGCGAGAACAAGTAAAAGCAGAAGAAAAAAGTAGAGCATCGCCAACGAGAAAAGAATTCTACAGAATAATAAATGAAATGATACTTATAGTTTATAATCAGTCTGAATTCATCAACTCATTTATGGACAACTCCAAGGCGTATGATACATTTCAGGCTTGGGTAAGTTCTCTTACTTAAAATAACTATTGGTATATGCAATTTGTCAATGTTCATCTTGAGTGTAATTCATTATTGTGGAACATGTATATATATAAGTTATATATATATTTCCAAATAAACAAATTTTAAACAACATTTATTCTAGACAACATGTTTTAACAGGTTTAGGAACCCCGCCGTAAAAACACAATTAAAAAGCTTCATATAAAACCTAATAAACCATCTGTTTGAGGATGGTTTTTTTATATTAAAGCATTTTAACTTACTATAGTAAAATATATGTGGATAAGTTAAATATTTCAAATTATGATTTTTAGATTCTAGACGACCAAGAAGTTCCTTCTTGGATAGTAAAAGTTTTCCCTGTGTTGGAGAAAATGAAACAGCTTCGTATGTGGATACATATACATAGCAAACCAAACATGATGAGATTTCTAACAGGTATAGCTGACTTAAATAATTAATTATACTGAATTAATAAACTACTGGTTAGAATCTGGGTAAGCTCCTAAATAAGGATATAAATTAACGACTAGGTTTTAGTTAGATTAATTAATTAAAACGCACAGTTTGTTCCCAGTTTTATCAATGACATCTAAATAAACACTTAAGGTTACCTAGAGGAACTTGTAAGTTCGGATAACTTACTTGCTTTTTCTTATATTAATAACGACCACTATTATTCGTTTTGCCTATGAATGAACGCGTCACAACAATTAACCACAGTTAGTATTTTAAGCTGGCTTTTGTAACAGGATGCCTTTCTTCTTACGTCAATGATCTGTGTATTATTTTTAACGACTACAAAAAAATAAACTTAAGTGTGAAAATAGTAAGATTGATCATCGAACCTTAAATAAACAAACTTTATGAATAAAACCATTGACTATATATACCTGTAGGTATATAGTCAATGATAAAGCCTACAGTTATATTTTATATATTATTTGGTAAATTATTTGACACATTTAAACATTGATTATCTGTTTTTATTATCCAATTATGGATTTAAAAATTAATCTTTATATACAACTCTGATACAATAGTCTGCAAACAAATCTATATCATTTTAAAATCACTTTTAGCTACACATTTATTTCCATATTTACCTTGTTAGGAACCTTATTGAATCAGATGTTCATCGAGATGGACGATGCCTCTAAAAGCAGCAGTTTGAAGGTCCATTTCCATGGTTCTCATGATATACCTGTTTGTGCCTTGGTGTGGGGAATCGTCCATGATGAGAAGTACTTGGCGCTCCCTGGAGATACGGTAGTTGTGGAGATGACTGCAGACGGATTAGTCAAGGTGAGGGATGTAGCTTTTTGTACCATTTCATGATTAAGACGTTTGAGATGCTCGGCCCTCGAGCATACAAATTTGAAAATGTAAACATTCTGGTTAAAAAAGTGCAATTTTCTCTCTCTTAATATCGTTTCTTTGTGTAACATCGTTCATTTCTCTCTCCTTTTATTTTGACTTGTTTCATTTACCTTTTCCTTTTGTGTGCATTTAATAAACCCTTTTTAATTCGACTCTAAATTCTGTGTACTGTGAGAACATTTGGACATTCATCAAACATATCTTCTCGACTAGAGACAACATGCGACCAGATCTTCTTTCAAGACCTTAATAACGTCAAAGTGGTAACATAACTATAGTTCAGTGTTAAAAATTAAACCAAAAGTCCATAATTATTTTCTGTTGTCAAAATTAAATTGACAACCCATATACAGTCCACTTTTATTATTTCTAAAAAAAGCCTTTTGAATACGCTACATCTTTGGTATATCTTGTATAAAAAAATAAGACTGTATTTCCCACTTTCAGCATTAGGTTTCTTTCTCATTTTATTTGTAGTTTTAGCGAATTTCCCTATAGGGAAGTAGCTATTACCGTAGGTGGCACGGTAAGACCTAGACCCGGGACCCATTAACTTTTTCATTTTGATGTCCCCAGAGGCCAAAAACACCATTCGTTCAAATTTTTATATATGTATATATATATATATATATATAGACTTATATATATATATATAGACTTATATATATAGACTTATATATATAATATATATATATATATATATATATATATATATACGTCCGTGAACGCGATAACTTGAGTAATTTTTGTCCGATTTTGATGAAATTTGGTTTAAAGGTGTAAAGCGGGATAATCTTGAATGAGTTCGCGAACCAGCACGATCGGACCATGGGAACGGGGCTTTACGGGGGGTTTTATGGGGTAAAAATTGGTTTTTCTCACTTTTGACCCTCAAAACACAAAATTTCCCGATTTCTCTTTAGACCTTTTTAAAGAGCTTAAAAAAACAAACAATTTAGTATATAAAAGTATTTTTATTCGATTGTTAGTAACGGAGACAATTTAAAAAAATTTAAATTTAAAATTCCCATGTTATTCTTATGGAGAATATTGTCAAATGTTGTAGTTTGCTTGTTTATGGATATATTTTGATCAAACTTGGCAAATTTATTTATTTTGTACTAAGCTATCAATATTTTACTAAAAAGCACACTTTATTAGTTTCCTTGTAGCTGCAAACCTAGGTACTCGTTAAACCTAATGTTATTAAAATATATTTAACTGAAAATCAATTCAGACAAATGGAAATTCGCTTAGTCGGCAGGTTTGCTGCGGCGGGGGTATTTTTTTTTAAGTCGGGTAAACTTTCAAACTTAACTTTACTATTGCAACCAGCTGGTTTGATATGGACTCTATAACTCTCTCGAACACTGAATAATATTTATTTGACTAATGGAGAGTTTAATATACAAATATTGTGAGATGCCCAAATAATTTTACATGCATGTACTGTATGTTTGTTAATTTCTATATACTAACCGACAAAATTAGACATACACTAGTGGAGTATGCTTAATCTATGGTTTTGAGTAATTGTTAAGATAAACCAACAGGTAATTTCAAAGAAATATTTTTTTATCTGGCTGTTATTATTACAGGTATACCTTTATGTACCGTTGAAGAAGGACCGGAGAGAAAGATTCCAAATCCTCTCTTTAGAATCCCTCTGTGGAAAAGAAGATTGTAGCTTGGTAGAATTCAAAAATGCACTGAAAGAACTAACTTTTGATGAAGATCAGTGGAAGCAGATTTGCAACGATAAGTCAGGCGTTGACCCTGAATATAGAACGTTACCTCAGGATATCGATGACGAAGATTTAATTATCATGAACGAAGCTATGTCTTACTTAAAAAATGTTACCCTATAATTTTTACTCTTCTATGTTGTATGGTGTGAATTTAAGTACAAGAAGTATTTTTTTCGTTAAATACCAAATCAAGAGCTTTTTTCTGTCTGTGCCTTGTCTCTTTGATCGGGATGTTTTGTTTTACATCTAAATAAACAAAGAGTACATTGTTAACCAATATATGATAATAACAGTTCGAATAGTTTTAGCGAAATCTTTTAATAAATAAAATTATTTAAGAAAATGCATTATCCCTTTGTAAAATAAACACAGAAGATTTTATGTCCGATTAAGTAGCGGTACTGTTAATATAGTGACAAAATTAACTTGTTAAAAATTTACTAATTTTTTATTTATGTCTTATTTTAGTTTGTTTATACGAACAAAACATGATATGTCAATATGTTATGTAAATAAGCATTTTTTCATAACTTGTTAGAGCTAAATAATACTAGGATATATCGTCCTTTGTTTTTAAAAATATGAAAAAAATCGTTCAAAATATTAATTACAGCTTTGAAATGCCGACGACGTAATTTTTATGACAAAATTTATAGTTATATTACACTTTTTTATTTTGACTTCTATGAACTTAATTTTGTATGTGTTTGCTGTAGCAATAATTGGTTTTTTATTGGTTAAAAAAAAACAGGTAATAAGTAAACATTCATACCTAATGTTGTGTTCCATTAATGTTTTCTCAATTTTTGTCGAAAGCTAATTTAAAAATTAGGCATGGCTTCTCTAAACGTGAAAATGGTATGACAAATCTGTAACCACGTGAATGAGAAAGTATTTGGATACAAATTTAAACTGTGTGTATGCCATTGAGATTGTTTCAAAACAAGCTTTTTACAGACATATAAAACGATAACTTATTTTTACATATTTCCTCTTCAGTTTATTCTACACAGTTGTTTCTTTATTTTGACTTACGTAACATAAACGTTATACGAATTGTTTTTCATGTTTAAATATGAAATCAAATAGCGTGCATTTCATATTTACATACAACCTTTATTAAATTATGGTAAAAGTGTTGTGATTAACTGTTTCAATAATTTAAAAACTGTCCATAAAATAATTGGTGATTGAATTATTATTTTACTTTACAGTGTGTAAGTATTAACACAGTACGGTACTACAATACGGTATGCAAATTAAATAAGGTTATCTGAATGAAAACAGATTTACCAATACCTTGCTATATTTAGCTCGTATAGCAATATATAAAAATCCAATTTGACGCTTGCAATCGTAGAAGATGTAATACAAATTCTCATAACTTGTTCCTTTTGCCAGTTTTTTTATATATATAATGAATCTTCAAGAAAGATTCTTACTTTTGTGCCGCTTAATGTATTCTTATCTAAAAAAGTGCATAGCTGAGATAGCATAAGCAGTATTGTTTACAATTACTTATGCCCAATAACCATCAAAGGCAGGGACAAGCAGGACGGTAGTTTCACAGATGGTTGAACTCCCTTTGATGATATTAATTACAATCGACACTTGACCGAACGAACAATCTCCAAAGTGAATTTCAATTTTGTAATATACATGAAATTTTAGTGAAGGTGAACGATTTGAACAATTTAACTCTACCAACTGAATATTTTTTAAGCTCAAAATTTCAAAAAGTTACTGAAATTCTAAAATATAATACTGTACAATAATATTTTACACTGTACAAATACATTTATTTCCATATTACTTTCTTTAACCTGAGTACGTAAAATATATTATCCAGTACACAAATCCTTACCGACGTGGATACATTTATTATATGATAAAAAGGTTATTAGGATGATTTAGTATTAGAAAAATAAACAACTTAATACATGTTCAACCATAAATATACGTTTTCAAAAGGTATGTTTCAATTCGAAGTCCCCGATAGAGCAATACAGACTGACCCAAATAATGCTTCTTAATTATTTGTACAGACCAAAAAATAAATAAATACAAGGTTTGAATTCTTAGTTAGGCTTGGTTAAAACTGTTTTATTTCAACGTTAAAACTAAATTGAATCATCTCCAGGCAAACGTAATTTTAATAGCATTCCAATAACAAGTATAATTGTTAGACTATTATAGGTTCATACTTACGACAACAGTTCAAAAAGTTGTGTTCAAACTCACAACATGTTTCGCCTATTATATACATTCATACATTGTCAAATTATATTTACAAAATTGTTTCACCAGTAAATAAGATTCATCAACAACAACAAAAAATATAAATAATGCACACGCGAAAACACATTTGAACATTTAGACTAAGCATACTAGCCTATACTATTAACCGGTCGCGGTACGGAGGCAGAATAGTCAAAACATATCGTGAGTTTGAACACCACTTGTTTAACTGTTCACGTAAGGATCGTACTTATAACAGGTTAATTAAACAGTTCATGGGCTACATAATGTATTTATATTTAAATTTACTTTACAAAAATTAATTATAGTGTTGAAAGCTATATACCCAATGATCAAACTTCATGCATCTGTAAATTTGTATAAAGATAATCCCGTATGAAAGCTTGTTTAAAAATTATTTTCAAAAGTAATTTTTAACCTAATGTTTATATTAGATATTTTTCTTTAAAAGCATTTCTAATAAATACTCGTATACATGAACATATAATTTCTGCCTAAGCTGACCGGACTGAGGCAAAGATATTCCACGTCCCTTGTGCATTTATCATATCACATTTCCCGGTTCGTAAACGTTAAAAAAAAAAAAACAGTAGCAAATAAAAAACCTTACCACAGCAAACCTGCATACTAAGTGAATTTCAATTTGCCTGCTTAGATTATCACTGAAATATCTCCTTATAAATGTCATATATATTCCCTATTAAAATAACATTAGTTTAACGAGTGTAGGGTTGTTGCTACAGAGAAGGTAATATTTTTTTTCTAGTTAAATTTCAATAGTTTAGTATGAAATAAATACATTTTCCTAACTTGTTTAAACAATGTCTATTAACAAGCATGCTACTTAATTATTCCCCATATAAATAACGTGCGAATTTTAATTTTACCGGTTTTTAAGGTTCTCACTTACCATTAAGCGCATAACAGCACTTAAATATATTAAACTATTTGTTTTTATGCTCCACAAACAGGCTTCTAAATTAAATCACATAACTTGTATAGTGTATTATTTTTATAGGGTTGTACAGATAAATACTCTGTTTTTAAGGTCGAAAAACAGAAAACCAAATTTTAGCTCATAAAACCACACATAAACACCGGTTCCTAGTATGATCATGCAGGTTCACGAAGTAATGCAAGTAAATGTAGGTTAACACGTTTGAAAAAAAAATGATATTTTTATAGGGTTTGCACCTGAATAGCTTACAACGTATTCAATTGCGGTATTCGTGTTGTCCATTCAAAGGGCAACAGTAAATACTCGGTCTTGCCCCAAGATACAAAATGACAAAGCCAACAACAGACAAAAAGCAACCAAAACAAAACCAATGTTTCAAATATATCGTTTGAAAGTTCAATCTACTGGTGACTACAAACAGTTTCTCAGTACCACTGAGAGTTAATATTTACTTTCCTGAAGTTTACGGTCTAAGCTTTTAGCCTAGTTACCAATGTGGGTTTGTATAGTTTTGTTAGTCAGAGAAAGAGCTAAATTGAATGCATCAGTTATTTATTTTTCTTTCATAAAACTTAAGATTTATCAAGTAAAATATAAGTAGTTATGACAGTTTAAAGAATTTGTTCCATTTACATCTGCATATAGCATATAGCATCTAGCTGAAAGTTAGATTATTAAATCATCTACGTAAATATTAAGACTGAATATAGTCATGAATGTATCTTTAAGAAACACAGAACTAAATAGGCAAGGGGAAATAAAAATGGCTGGAAAATATGGACGTTTACTAACTATTTTGCCCAAGCAAATGCTCGTTGGTTCAAAATTGCTTTATAAACTAGACTGGTTACCTAGTAGGTTGTGTAATATTAGGCATGATATGATTACATACTAAGGTTATACGGAATCGCTAACGACTGAGATGCTATAAATTTACCTTAGTTCGTCACAGATGAAGCCATCTCTGGGCTTACTGTATAAAGGAGTAAGGTACGGAGTAAGGTACGTACCTTAGTAACAATGAAACATGGCTACAGAAACTCTAGAGCAAAAGGTGTTTCATGTTTTTTTTGTCACAAAATCCCGTAAATTCAGGTACATACTTAGTGTTTTGCTTACCTTAACTTAACCCGATCAAATTGCTACAACTATTCCAACAGCAATATATAAACATCACTTTTCTAGAAAACATTATTGCGAAATAATAGTTCAATTTGATTTAGTTTTATAATGCTTATCAATAACTAATTGCAAACCAGTTTGGAATATAATCACCTAGTAAGAGATACAAAAAACATTCTTTTGTATTTTTGACCATGAAATGTGAAAATAATTACCCCTCAACTGGTTAGGAACTAAAAATGGTTTAAATACCTTTAGTCTCCAGTTCAAAACAAGTCGATTATATATCGGCTAAACAGGTTCCAGGCCTTTCCAACCCGGTTGAAATAACACAAACCAACCTCTCGATTTATTAAAAAAAAATATCTACGTTCACCAACACATAACTGAAATGGCCATAGAGTGGGGAAATAGGAAGAAAATGTTTCCATTCTCAGCTATTACAAAAAAGGCTTTTTATTAGATACACTAGAAGAGTTTCTCATCTACAAATCATTAAACCAAAACGCTGACAACCTAATGAACGATCAAATCCAATACAGTTCCAACAAAATGTTTAACGAAATAATCGAGACCCAAGTGACACTGACGCATCCTATTAGCCAAGGATCAAGACAATACAAAGGGCAAAGGCCAGGTAGACCACAAGAACGATCTGGCTAGTTGTGCTTCAAATTATTCGTTCTTCCTTGGTAAATACCAATCGGCAAATGTGTATTTGTGTCTTGTGAACTGTATATAGTTTTGATTAAACGACGTCCAATGGACTGAACACTTCTGA